TATAATATTATTGGCACAAAATAAATTATACTTACCTTAATATATAGATTATTTTTTAATATAATTTCCTAATTTTTATTAAAGGTAATTATTCTCATAATTTCTCTTTTCTTTTTTTGTGTAATTATTATGATAATTTTATGATAATGTATTTAAATATAATTAATATATAGTTACAAATAAATATAGCATTATTAGAATTACTTTAATCATGGAAAGAATAATACTGCTCCGTGTGACGCAGTCATTAAAAAATATTCTGTGTGACTTGCTCCACAATTTGCTCCATGTGTGGTAGTAAAAAAATAATTCTGTGTATTAGTACATTCAATTACATTATTTCCTTAGTGTGGTAGTCAAAAAATAATTAAATATAGTAATAATTAAAAATTATCAATATACATATTTTCATAAAATCAGCCTATTCTCAATCAAATAAAGTTACAAATCTAAATCATCTATAAATGTTGAGCGCATAATGTTGGAGGTTGATACAGACGGCGACAAATTCATCGATATGGAGGAGTTCGCGGCTTTCACTACTTCAGTGATGGAGGATACAAGTAGTTTCATTGGATTAGATACAATACGTTTTTCTGCGTTGTATTGTCCAAACTTAATATTTTTTTCAACAAAAAGTTATTCATTTCATATGACTAGATTACAATTTATTCTGAATATTTCTACGGTTACTCCAAGTCCAATTTTATATACTCATTTTTTGCTTCTATTGAAAGTTTCATTATCATTGATGAAAGGCAGCCTCATGTGAATCTCGCTTTGAGTGGTGCCTACTTATGCCCGTTTAAAGGGATGCTGACTCCTCTAATCTCTCTCTTCATTTTTTTGCTATACTGTCATTGGTCAAGAATTTAAAATGCCACACAATATAATGTGTGACTCACGGGTGATTGGAGAATGGGGAGTGGTTAAGTTTTTGTCGTGATATAAATGACAAGATATTGCCGAAACCACCTTTAATACACCAATTGACTATTATTATATTTCTTCTTAGTTCTTTGTGTTGATTATTGAATTAATCTGACTTATGAGTTTTGATTTGTTAAGTTGTTTTCTTCTCATGCTCCGATTTTGACATTTATGAAGACCATAAAATAATTCCTCACTGTATAGGCCGAAAGTGTATTTCTTTTTTTTTTTTGTTTTTCGTAATTATGGGATTAGTAATAATAATAATAATAATAATAATAATAATAATAATAATAATATAATTGGTAATATTATTGTTCAAATATAATAATAAAAAAAAAGGAAAATGAACACAACCTATTAAGATATGATAAATATAGTTCACCAAAAAAAAAAGATATGGACCCTGTTTGGTAAATGGTTGTTAGCTGTTAGCTGATTGTGTTAATTGGAGGGTATAAAAGTTGATAATATTAGCTGATTGTAGAAAAGTGTTTGGTAAATTAGCTGTTAATTATTAGTTGTTTGGTATAATTTCTTTTATGAAAAAAGATAATTGAAAAAGTTGTTTGGGATAGCTTTTTGAATTTTAGCATTTTGAAATTGCAAAAAAAAAACTAATTAACCAAATATTTATATTGATATTTTAACTAAATAAACAATTAATAGTGGTTATATAAGCCAAAATTGGCCTATAATCCAATTTTTTACCAAACAGGGCCATGATAAATATTTGCTATAGCATAGAAAGCATACCCTGAGTAACTTCTAGAAATTTTCCTGCTAAATGGAAAAAAATGGACATTATTAATATTAATACGAAGATTATTATCTTGGTAGAGATGAATGATCAGCTGAGTTTGGAGTCATTGAGGCCCTGGGAACATAATTAACATCTCTTATAGAGGCAGCACATGAATATAGTTCTGATTTTGTCAATTTTAATTTATATAACTGAGGGTTGCAAAAATCCCGCTTAGGCACCGAGTAATCGGCGCCTAGGCGCTAGGCGCCCCTAGGCCGTGGCGATTTCCTCCCTAGGCACCCGCTTAGGAGACCGGCCGCCTAGGCGCCCGCCTAGCGCCTAATTTGGCCGCCTAGCGCCTAACTCGGCTGATTACGCCGAGTTAATTCGTCAATTTCTGTCGAGTTAGCCGAGTTAACCCGGCCGACTCGACCTTGCCAATTTTTTTCATATATATATATATATATATACATATATATATATATATATATATATATATATGTATGTGTGTATGTATGTGTGTATGTATGTATGTATGTATGTATAATATGACATATATGCACCTACACACGTACACTGTTTTTCATTTTTTCAGTTAGCCGCCTAGGCGACCGCTTAGGCCCCGCCTAGGCCGTCTAGGCGCTAGGCGCTAGTCTACCGCCCGACTAGCGCCTAGCGCCTATTGCAACCATGATATAACTTATAACTAATTCACTATCTCTTATAGAGGCAGCACATGAATATAGTTCTGATTTTGTCAATTTTAATTTATATAACTTATAACTAATTCACTAATTTATGTAACTGATTTTCCGCTACTTATAATAAGATAATTTAATAAAATAATTTAATAAATTTATATCTATATATCTATACTATAATTAAAAACAAAATTCTATTTACTTGCTTTCCCGTCCAAACAATAGTAAATGTAAATTAAAAAAAAAAAGAACATAAATATTTCACAATAATACTCTACATCATGATCAATTTAAAATGAAACAAAAATGATGTAAATTGGAAAAATAAATGAATATTATTAATTGACTGAAAATTAAAAATAAAAAAAATTAGAAAAGACATATTTTAAACAATAGTAAAGGTGAACTAAAAATGGAATGAAAATTAAAATGGAACGGAAATATTTCAATAAAAATATTCTACATCATCAATTAAAAATGGTTCAAAAATTAGGTAAAAGTATCACTACATCTCATATTATAATTGACTAATTGATTGAAAATAAAAAAATAGTAATTGGCTGAAAATAAAAGAAGTAATTGCCTGAAAATGAATCTAATATTACTAATTGACTAAAAATATAAAAGGAAATGAATATTAGTAATTGACTGCAAATAAAAAATGATCCATAATTGACTAAAATGAAAAAAAAAAAATCTCAGATCATTACATTTTAATTAAAAATTCGACGAAAATATTTCAATAATAATATTCTACATCATCAATAGTAAATGCATATTTTAAACAATAGTAAAGGTAAATAAAAAATAGAACGAAAATATTTCAATAAAAATATTCTACATCATCAATTAAAAATGGATGAAAATTAGGTAAAAATATCACCGAATCTAATATTGTAATTGACTACTTGATTGAAAAAAAAAAAAGAATAATTGGCTGAAAATGAATATGATATTACTAATTGACTGAAAATATGAAAGGATCACTAATTAGTAATTACTGATATTCTACCATTATATATTTTCACCCGAGTCACCCATCCTGATGGGCTGATCAAGGTGTTATCTCTAGGCGAAAATGGACAATATTGTGTTGCAACTACCAATATTGTCTACAAAGAGGTTTCAATAATGTGTAAAGATAATCGGTGATATTATATTTTTTAAATGGCAAAATTGTAGACAAAAAATATATTTTCCATGCAAATGAATTAGGATATCAATTCATTCTTATAACTGAGTTGCTATAGAGCGAGCACATTTGCCTAATTTATAAAAATACTGAACAATGATAAATAAAATCTCCTAAGTTACAACACCGCATGCGTACATCTACACATTAACTACTAATTTGAGCAGTTATTTGCTCAAATTCAAGCAATGATAACATAAAAACACATAAATGATCCAAACAATTCCTACAATTGCATTATATAATATTTGATGTTCTAATTTAAATTATTATATATCGATCCAAATATTCTTAATATATTACAACAAATCCATTTCGTGCATCGCACGGGCGCAAATACTAGTTTATTTATAAAATAAAATATTAGATACTGAAAAAATGTTCATATTATAAATTTAATGAAAGTTAGTTTGTTATTGTAAGCGTTTTGACTTTTGATAATGGAAGTTAGTTTTTTTTTTTTTTTTTTTTTTTTTTTTTTTTTTTTTTTTTAAACTAATATAATAATTTGCAACTGTTAGTAAATGAACCACTAATATCGAGTAAGAACTTTCCATAATAATAATAATAAAGAGCGCAGCTATAAACCACGGGCTTAGTTCATGGAAAAAGAAGGTTCGAATTTGGATGACGACAAGGTGATGAAGATTATATCTAAAGTGGACAAATTCTTTATTTATACCGACATTTGACTCTGTCTGAATTATTGAATTACCGTGATTTACATTCTTAAATGATCTGTCCGACTGGAACTGAGCTATAAACCAAGCTTTTCCCCAACAAAAAAACACAACCTAGCTAGCTAGCTTAGCTTCTTCCTTTTCTCAATCCCCCTTATCTATCTGGCCAGTTTCTGCATGCAAGATAGGAATATTCACATGCAGCTGTATTAATTAGCATTTTAATTAATTATACATGTGACAGAGACAGAATGTTCCTCCAAAAACGTACTCTTTCTCTAATAATCATTTGATCTCTTGAGTTCCATCCAAGAAACCTTAAAGTGATGTTCTATAAATAACCGAATTTTAGGTGACAGAGAAATACACAATTACTAGCTATCCAATAGTATGCACTAAGTAAACCTTGTATCGTACGTGGTCATAGTCGGTAAAAGACCACAAAGAAATTAATTAAACCAGCTTAGTTGCTGATAGTTTCAATATATCGTTGGAGTCACTATCTAAGGTTATACACTAAGTAAACCCAACACGTACTGTTTCCGATAAAAGACCACAAAGAGATAAATCAACTTAGTTGCTCATAATTAACTAACTCAAATCAAGAAAGACAGTGGGTCATTAGAATAACCTTGAAATTGAATCTTATGAGCTAATAGTACGATTAACTGGACTGAAATTAAAAAATAACTAAATTTAACATATACAAGTATACAACTCCCTGACAACCTTTATTCTTTTCTTTACTAACGTTCTTGCAGAAAAAGGCATAACCATACCACACACTATACGTTCCCTTTCTGCTATATCTCTATAAAACCAAGTAGGATTACAATTGAATCGCCATCCCAGAGCTACCGCCGTCCGGCCACCATACCGCAATGGCGCCTCCCTCCACCTCCACCCCCACCCCCACACAACGACGGCCCTTCAGCCCACTGAGATGCATCGGGATAATCCTGTTAACCGTGATTATCATCTTCGGCCTAGTCATCCTCATCCTCTGGCTGGCGGTCCGCCCTCACCGGCCGGTTTACGCCGTCGAGAACGGCACCGTCCACAACTTCAACCTAACCAACGACAACCACCTCACCGCCGACTTCAACTTCACCCTCAAAGCATACAACCCCAACAAGCGCGTGTCCATCTTCTACGCCTCCGTGGAGGCGCAGCTCTACTTCGGCAACGAGCAGATCGCGTTCGCCACCTGGCCCGCCGCCTTCCACCAGCCGGTGAAGAACGTCACTTACCTGCCGCTGTTTCTTCCGGCCAAAGACGTGACGCTTTACGGCGACACGACGAGGGACTTCAAGAACGAGCGGTCCGCCGGAAAAGTGGACTTGGTGATCAAGATAAACGCCCGGGTTCGATTCAAGATGGGATCGTGGAGATCGAGGTATCGCAAGCTTAGGGTTATATGCACCCCTACCGATTACTATTCTTCCAAGGGTTTTAAGGAGGCTAAATGTGACACCGACTTATAACTTTAATTTAATTTTGCATGGCAAATTGAGTGTTTATTTATTTATTTATTTTTTAAATTAGGGTTCGAGTCCAGGAAAATGTTATTTGGATTTAAATACTCCGTACATAAAGTTGCACATGCTGTTTGAACACTTTAACATGTGCAGAGCTCGCATGGACATCTTAGTTGGTTACATGAGTAAAATTTGAAAACAATAATACAGTGTGGAAGCAAGCTCTTAAAGTGAGGGGAACCCTTGAAGTTCAGGGTTCAACCTTTTGGGAACAACAACGTTAGCGTGTGCGGATTTATGTACAAAATTTCGTGTGCATTTATTGTTATTCTTAGGTTTAAGTGTGTATTTATTTATGTTTTTTTAAGTATTGTTTCAACACGGTTTGCCTGTGGTGAGCTTGTGTAAGTTTTATTTGTTATTACGGAGTATCAGTTTTTGTTTGGATTGTCAATTGTAATTTATGTTGCAAAAATATTACTTGGACTCTAAAAACTTATTCTTAACTTTTACTCCCATTAAGTGTTTAAATTTTATTGGAAGAATAAAAAAAAAAAAAACAGAATGCATAAAAACCATGATTCATGACCCCCTATTATATTAAGCAATCAAAGAATGTCACATCATAAAGAGTAGAAAATGAGAGTTTTTAAAATGAGAGTACACGTAGAATGGGACTTCGAACCTCATCTCGTATGGAAAAATTAATCTGGCCAACACTTTGTCATTTAATTGGGCCGACTCGATGCAAATGAAGTTTAGTCTGAGTATGATACGGGCTTAAAGGTGTCTCCTACCGTTAAGGCCTGCTTAGGATACCTCATGACCTAACAAAAAAGAAATGAGAGTACATGTAAATACTCTCTATGTTGTATGCTATTGGAATTTTGATTCAAATAATTATATACTAACATTTTTTTGGGTATGAATTGAATGGGCCCTTTTAAATCCAAAATGTAGGCAGATATGGAGTTTGGGCTAAGAGAGTCCAAAAAGTAGGCCTGTTATGAAAATAATTTTGGCGTTACTTTCTGTAATATTGATGCTAATTGGCCCAAATGGGTCCAAGACCAGTTGTTAGGTGGACCATGGACCATGGTCCAATACGATTTTTTTTTTTTTCCGTTACCGTAAATTAATGGCATATCATGTTATAAATATGTATATTCTCAAATGAAACTATAATAAAAATAAAATAATATTTTAGTGTTGCTATAATGAAACTTTTTGTTAAAAATTAAACTAAAAAACAAAGTTTATGCAATAACGTACCTGAAGTATAATTAAAATGATAGTTCAGAGTTACTTTGATGGAGCTAATGTGTGTGAAAAATAAAACTCGTAGCCTCATGCAATAAGTCAAATGAAAGTAATGCGTAATTAAAATGATACTCACAAGATGACTGATTCTTCTTCCACTACGGTCTACGGCAGGGAAATTGGGTAATAATGTGAGCGAAGGAACAGTAAGGAAAGCTGTAAACGCTCTTCTCAAATGGAAGAAACTCCGGTGAATAAGCACCACCACCCCACTTGAAGCTTTTGGATTATGTGGCATTTTGCCCATTTACCAATCAACGATGGGAAATGAAGGCAATGCATAGCTCACTCGCTCGCTCTTCTACTGAAATTGTTTTATTAGGAGGAGGATTGCTTGCATTGTTGCTGCACTTGTGTAACTACAACACCTATCTTCTTATTTGAGACACCTCATAACAATGGAGTAATAGTCCAATTTTGGTTTCAATGATATTACTTCAGCTCATATTATTATGATTTAGAGATTAAACTATTTACTTTTATCAAAGCATGAACCAATTGTCCTTTTTTTTTTTTTTTATTTTTTATTTTTTTTGAAAAGGTATCATAGAATAGATGTTTGTTGTTTATGTTATTAATAGAGATAGTAGGTCATGTCATTCTTCTAAATGAGACAAGTTGTTGTCTGAAGTTGCTTCCTCCAGCTTGATTGTTTTGTGCCTCTGATTAATTTTCATGGAGGGAGTTCTATCGTGGTTAAAGAACTCAAAGATTGACAACATACAAGTTGAAACCGATGCACTAGAGGTGATAAAAGGACTCAAAACTATAAAGAACTCAAGAATTGACAACATACAAGCTGAAATCAATGCACTGGAGGTGATAAAAGGCCTCAAAACTTGCAGAAATAATACAACTTCTAATTTAATTATGTAAGATGTTTGCTTTATTCATGTAAAATAATCTGCGAATATGATAAATCATATTTTAACTAAGTGCGCCATGTCCAAGACAAATTATATGGAATACTTTACCATTGTTTGTTTCCTTGTTTACAAAATAATAAGATTCGATTTGCTAAGTTAATGAACTTCGTTTTCCTAAAAAACAATTCAAAACCTCTATGATAGTGTAATATGTGAACATAATAAATTCAACACAATCCATTTACAAATTCTTAGCTCATTAACTAAATCAAAACCCCAAACATATTCGTAATATCTCTATTGTGTATTGCAAGCACAAACCTTCATTTCATTACCAACGAAAGAGAAGAAAAAAATAGAAAAGAAAAGAAAGAGGAAAATAATAATGAATAAAAGATGAGGTGAAAGTGAAAGTGAGGCCACTCTTGTTGTCTAATAAATAAACAACTCAAACAATATGGACTAAGCTAAAGCTACTTATTTCCAATTTCTTTATCAATTCAATAATTGATTCCATTCCAATCAATCCTTTTTATTGATCAAAATATAGTAGACTGTGATGTTTTATTCTATATCCAAGAAAACTCCATAGTCCTAGCAAGCAAGATTATTTTTTTCCTTCTTTTAACAATATGGTTCATGACAACAAATAGGAATTCTTTTTGTGAATTTACAAAACTACACTATCATATTGTTCTCATTTTCATTCAAAGAAAAAAAACTTTCCAGCATTGCATTGGTCCATGATACACTTTGTTTGCACTTTCTAAACACCTATCATCCTTAACAACCTTGAATAAACTGTTTTGTTACATTGAAACATGTTTACCTCACAATAGAGTGGGTAATGAACTCTGTTGAGGTGAATTGAAATGGTTGAAGTGGAATGGGATTCCTGCATAATTTAGATAGATACACTTTGTGAATTGGTGATCATTTATAATTTAAGATTAAAAATCCAAAGCAAAAGGATGAGAAAGGGATCGATAGATTATTCTGTTACAAGAAAGAGAGAACCTTAATACAAGAAGAGAGAGAGAGAGCTATCTATTAGGCTATTGACTAGATCTCTAACAGACTAAAGATTTATTAAATACATAACAATTATATAGTCTAACACTCCCCCTCAAGCACAAGGTGTGTAAGCAACCACATTGAGCTTGTCACGAAGAATGGCGAACCGGGCTGCTGGTAGCAGCTTGGTGAAGATATCGGCAAGCTGGTCCTTGGTAGACACAAAATGAACCTGGAACTCCCCTGCGGAAACTTTGTCACGAACAAAGTGATAGTCAACTTCCACATGCTTGGTGTGAGCGTGGAAGACCGGATTCGCACATAGGTAGGTAGCTCCAAGATTATCACACCACAGCGTAGGTGGCGTAGTGGGCTTTAGGCCAAGATCCCGTAATAGAGAGACCACCCAGGTGACCTCAGCGCAAACATCAGCAAGACCCTTATACTCAGCTTCAGTCGAAGAACGAGCCACTGTCCGCTGCTTCCGAGAAACCCAAGAGACCAGATTCTTCCCAAAGAACACAGCGTAGCCACTGGTGGATTTGCGATCTACCGGACAGCCAGCCCAGTCAGAGTCCGAGTAGGCGTGTATATCAGAAGACATAGACGTGGTCACGCGTAGGCCGTACTCCAAAGTGCCTTTAACATAACGAAGGACGCGCTTAAGGAGGCACCAGTGTTCATTGGTCGGTGAATGCATAAACTGGCAGAGGCGGTTGACAGAGTAAGACAAATCCGGACGAGTGATGGTAAGATACTGGAAAGCACCAGCTAGACGGCGATATTGAGTCGGGTTGTCAAAGGAGTCAGTAGTTTGACACACCGGCTGAGTCACAGACGCAGGAGTGGCTAAGGCTTTACAGTCAGTCATGCCGGCTCGCTGTAGAATATCCCGCATATAACGCCGTTGAGACAGTATCATACCATACCATCCGGAACAGTGATGGTTTCAATGCCAAGAAAAAACGTGGGTCTCCCAAGGTCTCGAATCTTGAATGCTGTCGCTAACTGTCGCAGCAACGAGTCAACCAAGACTGGATCATTCCCAAGCATAATTATATCATCCACATACACGAGTAAAAACACTCTAGAATCGGACGCTGTGTAGTGGAACAGAGAGACATCTGTTTTAGATGCCATAAAACCTGTGTGAATTAAAAAATCATGCAATCGTTTGAACCAGGCCCGGGGTGCCTGTTTCAACCCATAGAGAGACCGCTGTAAGTGGCAAACATGATCGGGGCGATCGGGGTCTTCGTACCCAGGCGGCTGTCGCATGTAGACAGTTTCAGCCAGGTGCCCATTCAGAAAGGCATTGTGGACATCCAACTGTCGGAGTGTCCACCCACGGGAAATGGCTAAGGCGAGCAGTAGCCGTACCGTAGTCGGCTTTACAACTGGGCTGAACGTCTCGAAGAAATCTTCGCCGGCTACCTGATTGTAGCCTTTGGCGACTAGTCGGGCTTTGAAGCGTTCCACGGTGCCATCAGCATTCCGCTTGGTGCGAAAAACCCATTTGCACCCTACTATGTTCATATCCGGAGTAGCAGGTATAAGCGTCCACGTGTTGTTGTGTAGTAACGCGTTGAACTCTTGGTCCATTGCGTCTCGCCACTGCGGGTGCCCCACAGCCTGTGAATAACAAGTGGGATCATCAGTGGAGGCTGTGAGAGCATGAAGCTGCTCGTCAGTGCCCCGTGTCATACGCCGCAGGCGCATTACATGGGAACGCTCTTGCGGCTAGGCCTTGCGTCTACGCCGCTTGACCACCGGTACTGGGGCCGGGGCCGGAGCTGGGTCCGGAGTAGTAGTGACTAAAGCCGGAGATGAATCCACGTTATGCCGAACCGGACTGGACCCCCACGGTAAGCTGGCTACGGGCTCCGGTTCTGTTGGCTGTACTATACTTTTAGCTGCAAAAGGGAAGTTAGTTTCGTCAAAGCGGACATGACGACAGATGTAAGTTTTCCCGGTGTTTAGGTCCATGCAGCGGTAGCCCCTAAAAGATGGTGGGTAACCTAAGAAGACACACGGGCTTGACCGATACTCGATTTTGTGACGGTTGTAGGGACGGAGATACGGGAAACAAAGACACCCGAATACACGTAAGTATGTGTAAGTGGGTGATGACTGATGTAATCGGTAATAAGGTGTATCGAAACTTAGTGAGGCTGACGGCAATCGGTTTATGAGATATGTGGCTGTTTCGAACGCGTGATCCCAATAACGGAGTGGGACAGACGCTTGGGCCATTAGGGCAAGACCGGTCTCGACAATATGCCGATTCCGGCGTTCAACACGCCCATTTTGTTCGTGTGTATAGGCACACGACTGTCTGTGGACGATTCCTAAGGACGTAAACACTTTGTGTAATTTTTGATACTCCCCGCCCAAATCAGACTGAATGGACTTGATAGAACGTGAAAATGTACGTTCTACCGTCGCCCGAAAAACATCGAACACTTTGTATATATCAGTTTTGAGTCGTAGAGGATAATACCAACAATAGCGGGTGTTATCGTCCACGAAGAGTACAAAATATCGCGAGCCATCCGCAGAAAGAACCGGTGCGGGGCCCCAAATATCCGTATAAACAAGATCTAAAATATTATTGCTAGATTTGGCTACCCTATCTAGCGGGAATCGAGAGGATTTCCCGAGTTGACATGACGAACAAAGATTGGGGATTACATTTTTATTTTTATTTTCAACCGGGCATTCCCGTAAGACACGTTTGAGTGATTGGTCGTGTGGATGACCAAGACGCTGATGCCAGACCGATGAAGAGGCACGAGCCGCCACGAACGCATTATGGGAGTCGAAAACTGACAACGAGTATAATCCCCCCGAGCTTGGACCTTTAAGAAGAACTGCCTGTGTGGTGGAGTCCTTCACAACAAAAAAACTCGGTTGAAATTCAAAAAAACAATTATTATCTTTTGTAAAACGATTTACAGATAATAAAGAAACTGACAACTCAGGCACGTGTAACACATTGGTTAATTTTAGAGGTTTAGTGCGGGAAGGAATTACTGCATGTCCCACACGCGAGATTGCCAAACCTGTGCCATTACCTACTCTGAGAACATCATCCCCGTGATATTCCTCAGTCTGCGAGACCAAGCCGGAGTCAGGAGTTGCGTGGGTTGAGGCGCCTGTGTCCGGCAGCCAAGATGTGACCGCCGACGACGCCGCTCCATCACCGGCTACTGCAACGTGCGCCTGGGAGGGGGGAGGCTCGGAATACCTCCGGTAGTAGAAGGCCGCCGAGTGGCCTTGCTTGCTGCAAATCTAGCAGCGCAGGCCACCACGACCACGACCGCCGCGTCCTCCTCTCTGATTTCCGCCACGACCTGCACCACCTCTGGACTGACCACGGCCGCCATTACCAGACTGCCGTCCACCTCGGGACTGACCGGCGTACATCGCCGAGGCCGCGCCGCCCGTCGTTGCCGACTGGTACGCCGGAAAATCATCCGCATGGATGAATTGCTGCGCTTGTAGATAATCCGCTAGCTGTGGGATCGTCACCGGCGTGCCGGTGACCGCCAGGGAAGCCGCCATCGATCGAAACTCCGGACGTAGCCCCCGAAAGACGTACAAATTCTGCTCCGACAACGTCATCGGTCGGCCGGCGAGCGCTAGGTCCTCCACCAGATGCTGCGCACGTCCGAGGTACTCCGGGGTCGAGCTATCTCCCTGTCTGAGAGATTGGAATTGCCCCATAAGGTTGAGGCATCGGACCTGAGAAGACGATCCTAGCGCCGTTTCCGCCGCAAGCCATACTGCCCGAGAGGTTGTCTGGCCAAGGGTGAGGTACATGACTTCCTCCGATATGGACGAGATGAGCAAGGACAGAATGGATGCGTCCTGCTCGATCCACGCCATACGCGGGGTTCGGTGTAGAGGAAGCGGCTTCCTCAGACTGGTCGGTGACGGGCAGTTCGAGAAACGCCGCCGGGCAAGGCCGTGAACCGTCGATGAAGCCGAGCAACCGTTGGCCGCGCAGGAATGGAATAATCTGGGTCCTCCAGTATAGATAGTTCCGATGGGTAAGCTTCAGTGACACAAAGTGGTGTGCACTAGGAAGGGAATTTGGGATGGTGTTTGGAGAGGAGATGGTGGTGGCGGTTAGCGTTCGTGAGGAACTTTGAGACATCGTTGGTTGATCGGAGGAGAGGAAAGAGAAAAAAAAAGATAGATGTCTACTGGCTAACTGATACCAGATGAGAAAGGGATCGATAGATTATTCTGTTACAAGAAAGAGAGAACCTTAATACAAGAAGAGAGAGAGAGCTATCTATTAGGCTATTGACTAGATCTCTAACAGACTAAAGATTTATTAAATACATAACAATTATATAGTCTAACAAAAAGAAGAATGTAAAATGACGCACGGTCTAGGTCCATAGACTTTAATCTGGCGGATATGAGTGTCCCTCCCGTTCAGATGATTTGACAAAATTGCCACTTGCAACATGAAAGTGTTGACAAAGGTTTCACTACAACACATCACAGGAAAAAGATGTATGGTTAGTGAGCCATTTAGCAACAAAAACAAGTTATAATGAAAAGAAAATGGGGATAAACATTATTTTCATCTCAAATGCTGAACAATGTTTTTCCAATTACTTATGTTCAGTAAACATTGTGGCATAAGCATTCTTTTATTTAAAAGCAACAACTATTGTAGTCAATGGGACTTTGTCCCTTTGTCACTCAAATCCACAATGATTCCACTAATACTTTGGAAAAAATGCAGGACTATAATCTCATTAGTCAACCAGATTTTCTCCTGAGCAATTAATCTGCCAAAATTCAACAAATAACACACTCTCCAAAGTACAAGGCTAAAATCTCAATCTTTCCTTTAAGGAAAAAATTTCTACATTGGCACTTTGTTGTTTAGTAGAATATATATCATAAACTGTAAAGAACCGCAATAAGGCAATTCCATTCAATTTAATGTTGAGTTTCATATGGGTGGAAATTGAGGGAATATAATTTTACAGTGATTAGGAGGGAAAGGAAAATGGAGAAGTAAATTTGTGATGGACGAGATGAAATAAAATGAGATGAAAAGAAGAAAGAAGAGTGAGAAAATAATGAGAAAAGGAGATGATACACGATCGAGTTTCTCCTTACATCACAATTGGGAGAGGAAATATTTGATAGGATGGATGATTATTTTCCACCCCATTCTCTATTGGTTTTCTTTTTTCTCCATTTCCTTCCCATCAAAACAAGAGAAATTTAAATCTTAAGCTCTCGTTTCTTTCCTCCCATTATATTTTCCTCCATTTTCCATCCTTCCAAACCCACGAGAAACAAAGGTTCCAAGATGATTTACTTCTTTCGAAAAGGATTTCATAAACATGTTTGATAGATAATTTCCATTTACAAACTAAGTCAATGACTTGGAAGTCTCCTAAACTCATGGGTTTGGTTCAATCAATTAATCAATCCCCTCACTTTACATGAACTAGGAAAAACAAAGAACATTAAAACAAATGAAGGCAACAAAATGGAAGGAAAACCAGTGCAAGAGATAAGTTTATAATTTTATAAAAACAATATAAACGTATGTGTCTGTGTGTTTTCTTTTAGATAAGTGAAAAACAATATTTTGAAAGCTTCTATTTCTCACCGAGGATCATTCCCAGACAATAATATATACACCCATCCAGTTGGCTTGACAAGTTCCACGGATTTTATCTCCTGTTTTAGCAAATTAAAGGCCCCAAATCCACTTAAGAAAAACATTGAAATGTTGAATAAAATATGCATTCCTACATCACATTTTCAATATCAAAACTGAATCTAATCAATTGAGCAAGCACCGCTAATCAATCCCTAAACACACGTACCTTCAAGTTGTGGAAACCATCACCGGCATGAATTGAAATCTTACTAGGGGTGTAGCTCTCATCAAGCTTGAAATCAACATATAAAACTACTAACTGGAAAAACAATATAGTTAAAACATGTAAATTGCAACTCATTTTTGAAAGAAAGACAATTTCAAGATGCAAGTAAAAAACATACTTGGAGCTTTACTTTCTTCTGGAATTGTATATTTATCAGATGAGGTTGTGCACCATCAGATCTAAACCCCATTTGAAGGGGGGAAGGGAGAGAGAATAGAATTAGAAAATAGAGACATAAATTAAACACACCGATGGAGAATATTTATATAAGTTTACTAACTGCCAGTATGTATCAAGGTTATCATCTCCAAGGGAATTAATGCCATTTCCAGCTTTGCATGAGCTGACACTCCAAGCAGCCTTCTTAGCCATCTCACAGAGGTCATCATCAACCAAAAGCTGTTGGCTACCTCCTGTAAGCTTCCCTTCTTCCTCTCCTTCTGATGAATCTGCCATTGAGTTTACCTTACTTCGGTGGACTTTGCTGCTATAAAAAACAACTCATATGATCTAATTGAACTAAGAAGATTTAATCAACTGAAACAAAACCCCTATTTTGGAGAGCATAACAAAACAAGTTGGAGCTTTTGCCAAATACAGTGAAACCCAGTTCCTTTCAAATTGCAATTCCAGCATTAGTTAGTATTAATTAGCCCGATTGATCAATGAGAGGCTCAATCATTCACAGGAAATTCCAAAATTTCTAACTCCTTTAAAATATAGACAAAAACGCCAAATCTTCTGAAAACAGAAATACCTAATGGTATCAAGATCAGTCAACAAATATAGATAGCCAGATAATTCTTAGCATGCCATGACAAATACGAAGTAAGTGTTACACAAAAGTTTAAATTAAAGGTGAAAGAGAACTTGCTAAACCTCTTTTCTTGCTTACAGCCTAAAAGGAGTTTAACTTAAATTCGTTATCTTATGAATAAAAAAGAAACTAAGAAAATCAGCTACATCTGTAATTTAGATACAATGTGCTCTAAAGGCAAACTGATTATGATAAAGTTAACAACATGCATTGTTATAAAGCATAACCGTAGTAAATTTAGCAAAACAACAAAGATAACTCAAAGCAAAGCAACAAATTGGGCGATAGAAAAACTTGGGAGTCTAAAAACGATAGGATGTAAGATTAAAGGAGGCAATGGTGCTTACTTGCCTCTGCAAACGGGATAGTTAGCAGTGAGTCTTCGAAGGCTCGAAGATGCCTCTGTGAACTGCGCTACTACTATAGGATGTAAGATTAAAGGAGGAGGTGCCAGCTTGCTGTGGTGAAGCTGATAATTCAGACCTTGAGAGAGAATGAAATGCTGAATTGAGGCGGGAGTGACAATGTTTTTGGGAAAGAAGTAAATCTAGGGTTAATTTAATTTATGTATATTTATTAGAGTGATGACTAATGAGAGTGAGAGACTTTAGTAATTAGGTCACTTGTGCAGTGAGTTTTATTTTATTTTTATTTAATTCATAATTATTGATACAAATTTAAAATAATTAATTAAAAAAAATATACATACGACATCCGATATCTAGTATCCTATCTTTATAGAAAAAGTAGTAAATATTTTTGGAACTACATAATTGGAATGTCCAAAAAAAAAAAAAAAACAAGAAACAAGGTTTTGTTAAATTTGTGAAATAATTGTGAACAATAAATTAATGTAAATAAATTAAATTTTTATTCAAAAATTAAATTTCAAAAAATATGGTTCAGTAAATTCATGATTTGCGAAACACACATAACAATGGAGTAATAGTTTAATTTTGGTTTTAGTGATATTAGTTCAATTGACAGTATTATGATTTAGAGATTAAACTATTTACTTGTATCAAAACATGAAACAATTACTCTTATATGTTCTAAACCTGTATTTTTGACTGGAAAGGAATCATGTCACTTTCTCAATTATATATGTTTATAGAATAGATGTTGGCTGTTTATAGATATAGTAGGTCACGTCATTTTTCAAAATGAGACAAGTTGTTCTCTGAACTTGCTTCCTCCATTTCCAACAGCTTGATTGTTTTGTGCCTCTAATTGTTTTTCATTCCCATAGCTAAAACTGTTTAGAAACAAAAAAAAAAATATAAAAATGGCAAGAATAACTGAGTGTTTGTTGTAAACCATGTGCTCTATCCTCCCATTATTTCTTCCCACTTAACTAGTAGTGTTTCCACTTCTGGGAATAAATTCGGTCATACTAGAATTGCTAACTAATTCATTTATTTAATAATTTCTTGTATTGATACTTTATGCAATTAATCCTATAAGGCTGTAATTTCACATTGAGGAGCAAAAACTGTGCCAAGGTGACTGTATCATATTGATGATGAAGTTTGCCAGTAATGAAGATTTGAATGGGCCTAGCTAGCTAAAAAGATCTGGTTATTATGTGCTGTGATGGGGAAAATGGAATACAATCAAGACAAGAAGATGGTTTTCCCTTTTTATCCCTTAAAATGAAGGGCAATCTTATATTAGTAGCTAGTTTATTTATAGTATACGTAATGATATTTGTGTTTCACTGCATTCTTCCTTGGAAATATGGATTTGAAATCTCATAATTGCATTCAAAGCCATGCTTAAAGCTTAGAGCAGGAAGCTCAAACGTCTACCTCCAAAACCTCTGTTATGGCAAAAGAAATTCCATGGAAAGGGGTCTTCAATCCTAAGACAACAGAAGCATTGGGCATAAGGAGGGAAGATCTATTGTGGTTAAAGAACTAAAGAATTGATAGCATACAAGTTGAAACCAGTGCATTGGAGGTGATAAAAGGACTCAAAACTTTAAAGAAATCAAGAATTGACAGCATACAAGTTGAAACCGGTGCACTGGAGGTGATAAAAGGACTCAAAACTTGCAGAACTAATACAACTTTTGATTTGATTATGCAAGATGTTTACTTTATTCATGTAAAACAATCTACGAATATGGTAACTCATCTTCAAACTAGGAGCGCCATATCTAAGACAGATTGTATTAGGGGTGAGCAAATAATTTGTCGATTACATAACCGACCGAAACCGAAAAACAGATAGTCAGTTTCGGTTACAGTTGGTTTCCAAAAAAATCGAAATTACACAAAATATTCAACCATTAATATTTATATCAGTCTCCAAAATCCAATGTCCAAATCACTGCCAAAGTCACAACAGTCCAACAGTCAACAAATACTAATATACTAATAAAAATCCAAGCTGGTTAACTACCCAAGTCTAAACAAAATAATAAAACCAACAAAATTTACCTACCTTATTTTTTTTTGAATGCTACTGACTCTATTACAATGTAATATCTGTTAATAGTTATTTTCTCAACCTACTGAAGCACAAAAAGCCAATAACGCCTCTACTGAGGCTCGAACTCACAACTTACCTACCTAATTTAACAATAAAATCTAATCTAATCTAACTCTATAATAAAGCAAGAAGTTTTTGCCAAAATTTTTTCCCATCCATTTGATATTACGCCGTTTTGAGAATATCAGATAATTGGCTGTTATTTAATGGCCTGTATAATGACATTCCCCATTGGGATTCGGCTTAGCCGTTTTGAAAGATAAAACTCTTCGTATTCTAAACTACATCATATATACCCAGGCTCCAGTCCTTGATTAATAAGCAGTTCATATAATGTAGAACTCTTGATATTCTAAACTACATCATCATCATCAGATAACAAAAGCATAAGTAAAGAGATTATTGTTTAAAAAAAAAATTTAAACAGAGAATACGCAGAGTTTAAATCTGCATTTAAAACATTCAATGAAATCTTAGATTTCCCATAGAGTGGCTGCTGTTCATAAAGCTTGAAATCCTCTAACTCTATAAAAAGCCAACTTCCGGATGCAAATCTTCCTTCCGAAAATCAGATTACTATCCTTGCATTTCAAATCACTTTTGCTTCAACAACATGCCTTCAATGTTTGTTCCTATTAAAAACATCAAACCTGAACACCAACTGAGGGCAATCAGGGTTAGAGCTGTCCGGGTATACGAAGTTCCTGAGGTAAGGGGAGATGGCCAAACAAGAAGGAGTATGGAAGTTTTGTTGCACGATGAAGAGGTACTCCTTTTATTTTTTTAATGCATCATATTACTGCTATCTACGAATATAATCCTATTTCAAATCCTACTCATTTCTATTTTTGTTATTGGCAAGGAGATTAAATTCATGCCACCATCCAAAAAAAAAAAAAAGATGTGGTCAAATATAGGGAAATACTAAAAGAGGGGAAACTGTTTGAAATTAAAAATTTCATGGCTGCAACAAATTACTACCTGTACAAGATTACACAATATCAGTATATGATAAAATTCAACTATAAAACACAAGTCAAGGAGATAAATTCTATAGGCTTTCCTTTGAAAATGTTTTGCTTAAAGAGTTTCCTTTCATTAAAAGACCCTGACGATGTTTATGACAAGGAACTTATTGGTACTACCTCTAAATTTCTAAGATTTTAATCTCTCACTAAATTGAATAGCTAAGATCTAAATCTATTCATTTCTAACTTTGCAGATGTTATTGGTGTGTGGTTGAGATCTATAATCTTGTGGAAAAGATTATAGCTGGAAAGGCAACATGACTTATTGACTTTCAAATTGAAGACAATGCGTAAGTTTTAAATAAATTTACTTTGGGTCAATTACCCCAATTGTTGTATTTAGTTTTAAATGTACTGATTGTATCGCAGTGATAACACATTGACCTGCACACTGTGGAATGAACATGTATCCTCTCATATCCTGTACTACAATAGTGATTCGAAGGAACCACTCATTGTAGTCATTCAGTGCTATCGGGCTAAGGTGGTTAGTGGTGAGTTTCTCTATCCTGTTTAGTCTACTGTCTATTACTCAGTTCAGTTACCTAATATATCTATAATTTTTTTTTATTGGGTGAGGTGAGAATCACCAGCTCATACGGGTTTGAAATTAAAAATTTCATGGCTGCCATAAATTACTACCTGTACAAGATTACACAATACCAGTATATGATAAAATTCAACTATAAAACACAAGTCAAGGAGATAAATTCTATAGGATTTCCTTTGAAAATGTTTTGCTTAAAGAGTTTCCTTTCATTAAAAGACCCTGCCGATATTTATGACAAGGAACTAATTGGCACTACCTCTAAATTTCTAAGATTTTTAATCTTTCACTAAATTGAACAGCTAAGATCTCAATCTATTCATTTCTAACTTTGCAGATGTTATTGGTGTGTGGTTGAGATCTATAATCTTGTGGAAAAGATTATAGCTGGAAAGGCAACACGACTTATTGACTTTCAAATTGAAGACAATGCGTAAGTTTTAAATAAATTTACTTTGGGTCAATTACCCCAATTACTGTATTTAGTTTTAAATGAATTGATTGTATCGCAGTGATAACACACTGACCTGCACACTGTGGAATGAACATGTATCCTCTCATATCCCGTACTACAATAGTGATTCGAAGGAACCACTCATTGTAGTCATTCAGTGCTATCGGGCTAAGGTGGTTAGTGGTGAGTTTCTCTATCCTATTTAGTCTACTGTCTATTACTCAGTTCAGTTACCTAATATATCTATAGTTTTTTTTTTTATTGGGTGAGGTGAGAATCACCAGCTCATACGGGTTTGAAATTAAAAATTTCATGACTGCCACAAATTACTACCTGTAAAAGATTACACAATACCAGTATATGATAAAATTCAACTATAAAACACAAGTCAAGGAGATAAATTCTATAGGCTTTCCTTTGAAAATGTTTTGCTTAAAGAGTTTCCTTTCATTAAAAGACCCTGACGATGTTTATGACAAGGAACTTATTGGTACTACCTCTAAATTTCTAAGATTTTTAATCTCTCACTAAATTGAACAGCTAAGATCTCAATCTATTCATTTCTAACTTTGCAGATGTTATTGGTGTGTGATTGAGATCTATAATCTTGTGGAAAAGATTATAGCTGGAAAGGTAACACGACTTATTGACTTTCAAATTGAAGACAATGCATAAGTTTTAAATAAATTTACTTTGGGTCAATTACCCCAATTACAGTATTTAGTTTTAAATGTACTGATTGTATCGCAGTGATAACACATTGACATGCACACTGTGGAATGAACATGTATCCTCTCATATCCTGTACTACAATAGTGATTCGAAGGAACCACTCATTGTAGTCATTCAGTGCTATCGGGCTAAGGTGGTTAGTGGTGAGTTTCTCTATCCTGTTTAGTCTACTGTCTATTACTCAGTTCAGTTACCTAATATATCTATAATTTTTATTTTTATTGGGTGAGGTGAGAATCACCAGCTCATACGGGTTTCAAATTAAAAATTTCATGGCTGCCACAAAT